GCTAAACGGCCACCAAAACAACCTAGAACAGCCCCTAATCAGCCACATTTCCACTCCAAACGACCCCTAAACAAGTCTATTAATACCCAAAGTCCTAGACAAGGTTTAGGGTGTCGCTTACCTCAACCTGAAGCAAGAAAACGGGGCAAGGGCAGCAGCTAGGGGGCCGGAACAGAGCCGCAATAGTAGCAGCGGCACCAGCGGTCGTGCGGCAGTTCGTGGCGATGATGGCAAAGCGCTGCTCGAACGGGCAGCAGGGCGGACTGGTGATGGCGAGCAGGTGGCCGGAGTAGGGGCAGGGGCGGCGGGGAACCGCCAGAACAGGGGCAGCGAGAGGGAGAAATAGGGGAAGGGAGCTGTTGGGCCAGAACAGAGCAGCAGTGGCGGCGGCTAAGGGGGGAAGCTGGGTGGCGGTGGCGAGCCGGCAAGGGCTGCGGTGGCCAGCAGCAACGGCGGTGACCGGTCAGGCGGTGACAGGCTGGAGAGAGACAAAAACAGAGGAGAGGGGGGAATGGTCGCCGGAACAGGGGAGCGGGGTGGCAGGGGAGTCTCGCCGGAATAGCAACGGTGACGGCGGAGCTGGTGGGAGTTCAGCAGGCTCACGGCGGCCACGGACGAACGGCAAGCCGACTCGGAAGAGGTGGCGGACGGCTGAAACAAGGGCGGCGAGCAAGAAACAAGGGAAGAAAGTTGGTGGTGGCGCGGCCAGTGGCAGAGGTGGCGGCGAACGGCGGTGGCTGGGGTTGGGACGAGCTGCCGGACGGTGGCTCAGGCGGATGACATGCGGCGGTTTGGCAGTGGCCAGAGAGCGTGCGCAGAGAGAGGGGGAGAGCTCGGCAGAAAGATAGAAGGGAGAGAGGGGGGGGAGGACGATCGTGACAGGGGGGAAAAATGAGCGGGAGAGAGAGAGAGAGAGAGAGAGAGAGAGAGAGAGAGAGAGAGAGGTACAAGCTATACACCTACCCCCTCAAGTGTGATCTAAAGGCCACAAATCCGTCTTGGAGATCAAGACAAGATCCAAGGGCCACAACAATTCGAACTTTCAAATTTAAATAAAAGGCTAAAATGCATAAAATGATTTAAATAAAGAGGGAGGTGTACTAGTCTAAATCCGCACCCGGTCCAAATTTCACTTTCCACTAATTCCAGGCAATATCGACGTTGGCCACAATAATATCGACACCGTCCAATTAAATTCGTCACGAAACTCCGAGAAATTCGACACCAAAGTTCGGGCTCTAAATAACGGCCAAATCTCTAATTTAAAAATAACCCAAGAGTGATCAGTTTCGGGCGAGATTTAACTATAAGCGCACTGACGAAATGCACGTTTTATAAATCCCAAAAATGGGTCGAAATTCGGAATGTCACAACTGTCTTCTTGACTTATCTCACTAAAAAGAACACCAGAAAGACATCATTCATCCTACGTGATCCAGTAATTTGCAAGTTCGACAGAATTTTGTATTTATTGATCAATGGTGTCATTTCGGATCCGTAATTAACGACATAAATTGACTTTTTTCTATGATCCGGCTCTTTCCTTGATTTGCAGACGAAAGAGACGGAAAACAAGCTCTGATACGGTGATACCTACTTGATATGACCGTTCAGTTACGGTCCAAACATTACAAGCCTAGAGCGTTTGGATATATATTAAAAGTAATTCCTAGTGAATTAATAATATTTTTATTGCCTGTAATTAGAATATTACACTAATTTTGGAAATTTCACAGTAATCTCCAGCGGACATGGATTGCCAATATGACATTGGAACATATGCTTGCCAGTCATATGCTTCTGAACTTGTCACGTACGTTTCAAATTTCTAATAAAAGAAATTCAAGTTTCAAGCTAGAGACTTGGAAAGATACAACTCGATGAAGACATTTTCAATTATAAGGAATATATTAAATAGTTCTATCAACCAAATATATTACTTTGGAAAGATTCAACTGACTTAGTCATTCTAGGTAGAGATATAAGGGGAATCCAAACATTCATCGTATTAATTACAAGGAATATTCCATTGAGCATATTATATATTATATATTTAGAATATTATCTATGTCTTTTATGTTTCATGTTACGCTCCAACTCTTATTGAACTCTTATTAACTCTCCTCGTCGTACTTTTAATTTTAAAATAGTTTAAACTCTAATTGGGTCAAATGCTTGATTTTGCGAGACTTAAAGCTTCGAAATGAACACTAGAAAGACATTATTCATCCTATGTGATCAAATAATTTGCGAGTTTGAGAAAATTCGTATTTATTGATCAATAGTTTCATTTCTAACGTGGCTAGCGAGGATCACCTAGAGGGGGGTGAATATGTGATTTTATCAATTCTTGACAAATATAAAGTGGAATTAAAAGGTCAAGAACTGAGTCTGAACTTAAAGTGCAAAGTTCAGAATCTGAAAAAACTTTAGAAGTAGTTTTACTAGTGTGTAATAAATTATAGCAGCAAGAGTTTAGGGATAAGAGAATGTGCATATAAAGTTTCTAGTGGTTCGGCTTAGATCAAGCTTACGTCCACTCTCTTATAATGACAGCATATTAGCTAGATTCCACTAGATGATCAACAAGAGATTACAATAATGAGTGATAACACTCAGTGTATGATAGGTTTTACTATCTCACTCAATCACTCTTTCAGTACTTCTCTTAAAATCACAAAATGTAGCCCATGAAAGACAAGTATATAGGATCAAAGTTTGTTCAGAATTTGAGATTCTAGATTCTGGACTTTGTCTCTCGCTTCTACTTATCGACACCTTGGTCTCCCTTTCTATTCCTCCACTTCCGATCTATTGGACAGTCTTTAGAGGTTCGTCTTCCAATCTACTCGTTAGACAGATCTGTATGAAGATGATTGAGTAGCCATTGAATGACAAATTCTGAATCTCCATTGATTATGGTCACCCATAAAACCAAAAACTTAGGTAGCGCATGATAACCATTCTGGTCCGGAATGAGTTCCTGAACCAGAAATAGATTTTTCTATTTCTGGTTCCTGGATGAGTTTCTGGGAAAAAAAACCTGTTTGATAACGACAAAAAATTTCTGTTTCTAGAACAGAAACCCGTTTGATAACAGCACGAAATTTCTATTTCCTGAAACAAAAACCCATTTGATAAACAACATAAAATTCTATTTCCAGGAACAGAAATCCATTTTTTTAGAAATGAAATAAAAATAATAAAAAAATCTGAAAAATTAATAAAAATCTTTAAAAAAATTCCGAAAATCCCAAAAATTTGAAAAATTCTAGAAAAAATCATCAAAATGTTGAGAAAATAAAAAAAAAATTCAGATTTCGGGAAAATAGGAAATTTGTTGAAATTTTTCAAAAAAAAAATAAAGAAATAAAAAATTTCAAAACTTTACAGAATTGCTTAGAATACCTGTGGCCATCGACTTTTAGTGAAATTTAAAATTTTTTAGGTTCCCAAAAAAAATAAAAAATTTCAAAACTTCACAGAATAGTTTAGAATACATGTGACCACCCACTTTGAGTGAAATTTAAATTTTTTGAGGTACCCAAAAAAATAAAAAATAAAAAATAAAAAAAATTTCAAAAATTCACAAAATTGCTTAGAATAGCTGTGGCCACTCACTTTTTGAGTAAATTTTAATTTTTTTTAGATGCCCTAAAAAAATTTATAAAAATTAAAAATTTCAAAATTTCACAGAATGACTTAGAATACATGTGGCTAACCATTTCAAGAGAAATTTAATTTTTTTGAGATTTCCAAAAAAAATTAAAAATTTTAGAAATTTCAAAACTTCATAGAATGGCTTATAGAGTACCTGTGACCATCCACTTTGAGCGAAATTTAAATTTTTTTAGGTGCCGAAAAAAAATCAAGAAGTGAAAAAATAAAAAATTTCAAAACTTCACAGAATGACTTAGAATACCTGTAGCCACCCACTTTGAGCGAAATTTAAATTTTTTTAGGTACAAAAAAATATTAAAAATCAAAAATTTGAAAACTTCACATAATGGCTTAGAATACTTCTAGCCACTCACTTTGAGTAAAATATAAAATTTTTGAGGTGCCCAAATGATATTTTTTATTTTTTGCTTTTTTATTTCCATCACCTAAAAAAATATTAAATTTTACTCAAAGTTGGTAGCCACAGATATTATAAGCCATTCCGAGAAATTTTCAAATTTTTTATTTTTTTTATTTTTTTTCGAAATGGGTGATCACAGATATTCTAAGCCATTCTATGAAGTTTTGATGTTTTTAATTTTTTAATTTTTTTCGACACCTAAAAAAAATAAAATTTTGCTCAAAACGGGTGGCCACAAATTGTGAAGTTTTGAAATTAAATTTTACGTTGGATTCGTAACGTTACGTACGCCCGCACACAAATTCCAGTCAAATTAATGCAAATGGCCAAGCACTGGAACGGGTCTTCAGCATTCAACCACCATCGTTCTCGATATTTGCTCTCAATATTTGTGAGTATGCATCGTTCCGCATAATATCGCAAAAGCTTATGGAGAAAAGTAAACCAAGCACATCACATTACATTACAAGAGCCAATATAGGAGATCCCAAAATGCCACGTCACATTACAAGAGCCAACATAAAAAATCCTCAAATACAAAATAATGGAAATACATTAGAAAAGTCAGAAACACATTTTCATGGAATCTCCGCCATATTATTATCAATTGCCAATTGATTGGCAATTCTTTTCCTAAGCATGTTGATCTCGATATCCTCCTCTGTTGATGTATCGTCAATAACCTCATCTTGTGCACTGGAGAAGAGGAAAGAGAAATTGCGGAAAGATTCCACAAGGAATTATCAAATAAGGGAAAAGATTGATCTACCAAAATCTATCCCCATGACAGCTGTTAGGCCCTGTCTCGACTTTAAGGGCATGTTCTTGGTTACTAGCTACTAGTTTTGCAAATAATGCACCATCATAAATGATTTACCTACGGTGGTGGCACTGCACATTCTTTGAATTGGACAACTACTTGCAAAAAGATGCATTTAAGCAATGATGCCGAAGGAAAAGAGATCCCCCCCAGCTAAGAGAAAGGGAAGATATCATCCAATAAATTCAGAAAAAAAAGGATCATCCGATCTAACATTATGCCAGACAGCTTCTAATCAGACAAATCCTGCCAAAACGCAAACAACCAACAAATGCCGATTGACCAGGCCAAGAATTTGCCAAACGATCCAAACTTTCCAGGGTTAGCTCAAACCACCCATCAACTATTTAAGAAAAATCACCAACAACCGAGTCACTGACAAGACCGGCAGAGTTGATCATCCAATAAGAATAATCACTGGAATTTGGAGTCCTATCCAACTTATGTAATTTTGATGCGAACGCCCAACAGATCATGTTACACTCTCAAATCCCAGGACAGCAATTCAATCAATTGACAAAATAGGGGACGCATACAAAGCAATCACGACAGCATCAGCCCCCGAATCAAACACTAAAAACAACCAAATTTTTCCCAAACTGACCGAGGGAAAGCAACGAACGCCAAACTCCCACGAATGGTCATGCGCAAAAGGCAAAGTCACAGGGATGGAAAACTGAAGTTAAATTTACTACAATATTATTGCATTTTTTGCTAGCTATCATTCCAAAAGGGGAATGATGCTTATGAAGTCTGTTAGCAATTCTTGTTCCCCATCCAGTTGGGGAAACCTACGTTAATGTTGAACGAGGTTTCAAAAAATTGCACCGAAATCATTCTATAGAAATCTTCCTCCATTCACAGAATTCATAATATTCGGACAACTCCCAAGCAGTGGAAGACTTCGGAGATGCACATCAATTTTTAAAAAACACAAATCATCAGAGTTAAATCAACAAGATTCGCAAATTTTAGAACAGTTGAAGAACTCCCAGTCGAAGATTTCAAAGAAGAAATTGCATACCTGAGTTGAACCTCGAAGAATTTTGACACGAACACTTCGAAGAAGTGGAAATCGAACCCGACTGCAAAATTCCCCAGATCAAATCAGTGAAAAAATCGGGCGAAACACTGGCTTTCAAAAATAGAAACCCATTTACTTCATCAATTTGGAGTTCGCTACCAATTATGGAGCAACTGTTCAGTGGTCAGAATGTTCCCAAGCATCGCGACTTCTACATCTTTCAGCTTATTAAGAGGTCCCCATTCAATATCCCGAGCACGTTAATGCGAACCGACTAATCTCATCCAACCCAAACCCTAGCAATCTTCGAGTCCACACACCACAAATTCTTGAGAAACAAACACCCCAAAAACTGAAGGAATCCTATGCGACGGAACCGACTTACCATAAATCCTAAACAACCAAAATTTTCCCAGATCTGGGCGACGACGAGCTCGACCGCCGCCCACGGCGAGGCCGCTCGGCCTCGCCCAGATCTGGGCGACGCCGAGCTCGACCGCCGCCCATGGCGAGGCCGCTCGGCCTCGCCCAGATCTGGGCGACGGCAAGCTCGACCGCCGGCCCTGGGCGAGGCCGCTCAGTCTGGGGGAGGCCGAGCGGCCTTGCCCAGGGCCGGCGGTCGAGCTCGCGGTCGCCCAGATCTGGGCGACGGCGAGCTCGACCGTCGCCCACGGCGAGGCCGAAGCTGACCCCCTCGATCACGGCGACTTCCAAATCCAGAAAAGAGAGAGATGAGAGGAGATTTGCGCACGATCGGAGCTTACGTGGAGCAGGAGCGAGCGGCCCTGGCTTCCTCTCGGTCGGAGCAAGCGAACGAGTGGCTTGGCTTCCTCTGTCGACGGCAACAGAAGAGAGTAGAGAGAGAGTCGGGCAGAAGAGAGAGCTCGAAGGAGACGAGAGAGAGATGTGTTGAAGAAAATCGATTTCTTCGGGAATGAGTTCTCACTTTTGGTCCAGAAACGAAAAACCTAGTTTTTTCTGTTTCTCATTTTTGGTCCAAAATGAGTTCCGGGACAAAAACTTGTCCCGGAAATAGAAAAATTAAATTGCGTTAACAAACGGGTTTCTGGTCCAAAACTGATTTCGGGAGCAAAAAACCAGTTCTGGACAGAACCAGAATGGTTATCATGCAGTACCTTAGCTTCCATATGTAGAGCTTTTTCGTTAGAAAGAATCTTGTCTCAAGATTGATTTGCCAATCAATTTTAGATGTTTTGCATTTCAAAGTTAGTTTGCAAAATAATTTTTAAGATTGAGTCAATCAAATCTTTCTACGTGTGAAATCTAAACCAGAGCACTAGCTGTTATGTACGTTTTGAACTTGTGTCACGATCTGAACTTGTGTTACGTTCTGAATTTGTGTCACGTTCTGAATTAGAGTCAAGATAGGAACATAAGTAGTTCTCTGAGTCTAAAGTTCTTCATTTCCAGTATAAGGTTTGAACTTCTTTTTCTTGAAGTAAATTCCACAATCTGAATTTGAATAAGATTAAGATTGCCATATGCTTCTTTTCCAAGAATATTTTCCGAAATCAAAATACTTGAAGACATTTATCAGATTTACAAGATACACACGGATAGTTTTGTTAACTTCAAAATTTATTAATTAGTTTTCTCAACAATTTTCAGATCCGTGATTAACGACATATATCAGACTTTTTTCTATGATGAGGCTCTTTCCTAGATTTGCATATGAAAGAGATAGAAAACAAGCTCTAACACCTACTTGATTTCACCCTTCAGTTACAATGCAAACATTACAAGGCCAAAGCGTTTGGATATATAGTAAAAATAATTCCTAGTGAATTAATAATATTTTCATCGATTGTAATTAGCAGATTAAACTAATCTTGGAAATTTCACGGTAATCTCGAGCTGACATGCACTACCAATATGGCATGGGACCATATGCTTGCCAGTCATATGCTTCTGAACTTGTCACTTGAGTTTTGAATTTCTAATGAAAGAAAGTAAAATTTCAAGCTAGAGACTTGGAAAGATTCAACTCGACGAGGACATTTGCAAAGTAATATATTATAGAGTTCTATCGATCAAATATATTACTTTGGAAATATTCAACTTGACTTAGCTATTCCAACTAGAGATATAAGGGGAATCCAAACATTAATAGTATTACTTTGGAAAGCTTCAACTCGACTTACCATGATTTTAAAAATACTTTTTTGTGTAGTATTACTTGATCGAGCTCGAGATTGCACATATCATAGAAGTAGGAAAAACATCGTCCAGACTTTCTATGATATGTGCAATCTCGAGCTCGATCAAGTGACATTAATATCATAGTCGAGTATAATTTTTTATGTTCTATTTAATATTTCATTTTTCTTGTGATTCTTCTTTGTCCTATTATCCTTTTAAATTCCCGGTCCTACTCTTCGTGTTCGGTTTGCACATGAGAACTAAGGATCTTATATTAATATAGTCTCCCTCCACGTAATATCCTTTAGGGCTTAACAAATCCATTAAAAAGTAACCTATAATTACATTAGAAATCATAAAGTAAGATAATAAATTTCTAAAAAGTTGTAATGTAGGATTTTGCATATTTGGAGAATAAATAAAATAATTCTTTGTAATTAAATGTATGATGTGACATTCCGAATTTCGACCCATTTTTGGGATTTATAAAGCGTGTATTTCATCAGTGTGCTTATAGTAAAATCTCGCCCAGAACTGATTACTCTTAGATTATTTTTAAATTAGAAATTTCGCTAGAATCGCACTCGATCGAATTTAGCCGTTATTTAGAGCCCGAACTTTGGTGTCGAATTTATCGGAGTTTCGTGACGAATTTAATTGGATAGTGTCGATATTATTGTGGCCAACGTCGATATTGCCCGGAATTGGTGGAAAGGGAAATTTTGACCGGGTGCGGATTTGGACCAGTAGACCTCCCTCGTAATGTGTTTTATTTAGTGTCTTTTGGCCAAATCCTAATTTATAATTAGGATTTTTCGTGAACCGTTGGATCAATTTCGAGTTCGAATGTGGGCTGTCGGATCACACTCATTGCATTGACTTTTCCCTCTCTTTCTCTCTCTCTCTCTCCCCCCCACCCCCACCCCCCGGTCACGTCCCCTCCCCCACTGCGCGCACGTCCCCTCTCCCCAACCTCCCCATGCAGACCCTTCTCTCTCTCCTCCTTTTCTTCTTTTCTTTTTTCTTCTTCTTCTTCTTCTTCTTCTCTTCTTTTCCTTCCTCTTCGCCGCTGCTCCAGCTTCCTCCTTGCTGCTCACCGTCGACCACCGCTCTATGTCCGCCTTGCATCGCCGCTTTCCCGGCCGTCGCGACCGTCCGCCCCAGCCGCGCCATCCGACTCCTCCACCGTCTCACCTCTTCCCTCGCCGAGCTCCCCTTCTCCCTCTCGAGCACGCGCCCCTGCCCGTCGACCAGATTCGCCGCTCGTCGCCCATCTGGCCACCGCGCGCCATCTGCCGCAGCTGCTGTCTGGCCACTCGTCCCAGCCCAGGGCTGCTGTGACCGTCTCCTTTCCTTCCCCTGCTGATTCGGTCCATCGTCCTCCTCCTCCGCTTCGTGCGCATACAACCAGGAACAGCCGGCCGCCGCCTATCGCCGCCGTCCATTGCCATCTAGCCACCACCTGTCGCTCGCCCAGCGACCACCACTGCTTCTGCTCACAACTCCCCCTCCTAGCTGTCTCTCTCTCCCCTTTCCCCCTCTATTTCACGCGACCAGAGAGCCACGCTGGAAGAGAAGTCACGCCGGCGCCGCCCCAGCTCAAGAACGCCGACGGTGCAGCTGCTGCTCGCAGGTCGTCCGCCCAGTTGCCGGAGCCCAGCCGCTGCCCTGCTGTCGCTATCGCCGCCGCTGCCCTGTTCCGGCCCAACAGCTTCCTTCCCCTATTTCTCCCTCTCGCTGCCTCTGTTCCGACGGTTCCCTACTGCCCTTGCCCCTACTCCGACCACCTGCGTCATCACCAGTCCGCCCTGCTGCCCGCTCGAGCAGCCGCCTTGCCATCGTCGCCACGAACTGCCGCACGATCACCGGTGCCGCTGCTACTGTTGCTGCTCTGTTTCGGCCCCCTAGCTGTTGCCCTTGCCCCATTTTCTTGCTTCGGGTTGAGGTAAACAACACCCTAAACCTTATCTAGGACTTTGGGTGTTAATAGACTTGTTTAGGGGTCGTTTAGAGTGGAAATGTGGCTGATTAGGGGCTGTTAGGGGTTGATTTGGTGGTCGTTTAGCGCGGTTTGGTGACGGAATTGTTGGCTGGTTCGGGGTGAGTGAATGGGTCGGAATGTGGGCTGAAACGAGGTGATTTATGATAGATTTTGTGGCTGGTTTTGGAGTTGATTAATGCTGGAAGTTGTGTCGTAGATAATAGTTGTTCGTGTGTGATTTAATGTTCCTTTTATGGTAGTTCATGTTGATGATTCGTGATGGGGATAACGCGCATATTTTGAGTTGTGGCTTAGTGTGATTGTATGAGGGGCCGTTGATGCTAGAATATCAATTTAGTGTGTGATTGTCCCGTGTGGTCCAATGCTTGAATTGTGGTCATATGTGGTGAATTAATGGTTGGTTGTGATCGCTCAATGGTGATCGTAGGTGCTTGTTGAAATGCAACATGAATTGGTGGAACCGTGGCCTTTTTGGCGTAAGTATGGCGAATTGTGTTGTGGTCATTTGGAAATGGTTGCGTGATATTTGATTATGTGAAAGACGTGGAAATTGATTGAATTATGTGGCGTGTGTGTTTGCTTGAAAAGCCCGGATCGATCGGAGGGCTGCCAACCTGTGGGGTGTTGACTCGGGTCGTGAAAAGGTCTTGGAGCATGTTGATGCGGGACAAAGCCCGGATTGATCGGAGGGCTGACCTGAGGCGTGTTTACACAGGTCGTGACAAAATGAGAAAGGACATGTGGGGTGTTGACCCGGGTCGTGAGAAAGGTCCTGGAGCGTGTTGACGCAGGACAAAGCCCGAATTAATCGGAGGGCAACCAGCCTGGAGTAGTGTGTTGACGTGGATGGCGAGAAAGGACCTGTGGGGTGTTGACCCGGGTCGCGAGAAAGTTGGATGGACACGCATGTGTAATGTATTTAGTTGAATTGGATGAATGCACGTGTGTATGGCACTCAGCTGATTGTGATATGTGCTTGGGCTATTATTGCATTATAGTGTTTGACTAATATGCAAAGTTGGCGTGTGATTAGAGGCAAGGTAAGTACTTTTATGTGAATTCTAGTATGTCACTTGTTAGATTGCATGTTGATACTTGTCTAGGTATGCATTGGCTTATGTAGTAGACATGGCCACGGGCCGGTTTTGGCCCGGAACCGGCCCGTTGACCGGGCCTGCGGTCCCGGTTCCGGTTCAAATAATTTTGGAACCGGCGGTTTCGGGCCCGGTTCCACACAAAAAAAAAAAACTAGTGCTGCAGCGATTCTTCCTCTCCAGAATCTTCCCCTCCTCCTCCGCCGCCATAACCCATGGCCCACGCACTTCCCCTGCAGACCAGCAACATCGCCAACATCGCCGCCGCCGGTGCGGCGGCGCACAAAGGCAGGACCGTGGAGGAGACCTACCAGAAGAGGTCCCAACTCGAGCACATCCTCCTCCGCCCCGACACCTACATCGGCTCTGTCGAGAAGCACACCTAGACCCAGTCACTGTGGGTCTATGAGGGCGACGAGGTGGTCCATCGCCTCGTCGCCTACGTCCCCGACCTCTACAAGATCTTCGACGAGATCCTCGTCAACGCCGTCGACAACAAGCAGCGGGAGCCTGCAGCCCCATGTTCCAACCCCACCCACGCCCACCTCCTCCAGTCCTCCTCCAAATCCCTCGTTCCCCCCTCTCCCCTGCGCCTCCTCCAGTCCTCCCCTTTTCTCCTCTGACTGCCCCCCGTCTTCCCAAATCTGACCCCCGTCGCCGTCGCCGCCGTCGCCCCCGCCCATGGCCGCAGCCGCCGACGCCGACGCCCCCTCCTCCTCCCCCCTCGCTACCCTGTGCCTCCTCCCCTTTTCTCATCCTCCCCCCTCGAACCAAAACCGGCCGAAACCGGAACCGGCCCGGAACCGCCGGTTCCGATTCATACATGACCACGAACCGAAACCGATAGTTCCTGAACCGTGGCCATTCCTACTATGTAGG